ACAAGAACCTGATATATCTCATCCTGATGATATCCGGCCTTGCTGGAGTGAGGGAGATCTTGATGATGATGTGGGGTATATGGATGACCTGGGAATTGATGATGAGATGTGCCGAAGTGGCCTCCAAGTCAGAATGTTCATGCTCACAATGGAGTTTGGTGATGATCCACAAGATGAAGACTGGGTTCCACCAAAGCTATGGCACTATAAAGCAAAGGAGCAGATTGGTGCTGCCCAAGTTCCATTGTGAGCTCAACCCAATTGAGATGGTATGTTGGTTTCTCATTCTCTTTGAGTGTGGTTCTAATACATTGTTCATTATAGTACTGCGGTTGGTGCAAGTACCACTCCCAACAAGCACCAAAGAACACTTTTGATGGGGCAAAGAAGGCCACATGTGGCTTTTGATGCATGCCCCTTTGATGTAACCCCCCATTTCATCATTTGGTCATGGAGGTTCACAAGTGCCTACCATGTTAGGCTTACTGGGAAGGCTGCCACTTGGGCTGTCTGCAAGCAGAAAAGTCATTGCAGTGTCTCCCGAAGTGCCATGATGCACTCAGATACTATTGTTTCTTAGATATGAATATTTCTACTATTTCTACTACCCATTAGCCACTCATATATGTGAAAAAATAACCCCAAAATATTGGCAGTTCCCGAAAACACATAGGAAAAATCTGAAAAATCGGATTTAGGCTTGTTTCGATAATCTGAGTCTCATTCCAGAATATCAGGCGATTCTCACGAGCCGTTTTCAAGTTATCAACTTAGTCGGCTTCGCTTGTCCGCGACTGTAGAAGCATTGAAATTCGAAAGCATCAAATCAATAAGTGGTTTAGGGGCGGTTAAGTCGTGTGTAACCATCCAATGATAGAAATACATTTCTATTCTTTCGACGCTCACTCCCACTTCTATTTCCTCTCCCACCATCACCATTGGATTTGAGACACTACCCATAAACCATGGACCAGATTTTTACCCTGACCTCTCTCTATTCCCTTCTAGGCGTTGCGACGATCGCTGGAGCCGCTAAAGCCGCATCCTCGGCTCTCCTTCCCAAGGGTGCATCCTCCCAGGACCGCTGGACATTCATTTGGCTCGTGCGTATGGTCGTTTAGCCGAAATATGTTGAATTGACAACGCAACTTTCTTTGTTTCTGTAGGCCTTTGATGCTCTCATTCACTTTTCTTATGAAGGCTCTTGGCTCTACTATTCCACTTTCGGTCGTCAAGTGAACAGCAGTGTTGGGCCCCTGGCAGAAATGTGTAAGTTATCTTTCGTTTTGATAGTTGTTCCCATTAACTATAATCGAATACAGGGAAGGAATACAGCGCCGCAGACTTTCGTTGGGGAGTCGCAGACTCGACTATCGTTTCCCTTGAACTCCTCACCGTTCTCGGCGCGGCACCCATGTGCCTCTACATCATCTACCAAATTGTCAAACGTGATCCCGCGAGACACTATTGGATCATTATATTGAGCACCGCGGAATTATATGGCGGTTGGATGACGTTCTGTCCTGACTGGTTGATTGGAAGTCCAAATTTGAATACTTCAAATTGGTTGCATCTCTGGGTATACCTCGTCGTAAGTTGCTTTCTGATCTGTTACGTCCCGTGTAGAATGATTGTTAACCCGCATGTTGGTGATATTCTAGTTCATGAACGTCATGTGAGTCTATAGCCTATCTCCTTTGATGTTGACTCCTCTGCTGACATACATACTTCTAGCTGGGTTATCATCCCTTTGATCTTGATGGTGGAATCCTACGGCCACATCGCTGGCGCTCTCCGCAGCACACAAAAGAAGGCTAAATCTGCGTGATCTCACAGACATTTTGAACCTTTAGTCGTACTCCTGCTCCATTTGTGACTCTTCTCTCGGACGTCTGATACCCTGTTTTCCTATTTATATAACAGAATTACTCTGAAACGGATTGAGTCACGAAATCATTAACGCGCATGCTCGTACGCAGAATGTATGTTAATGCAGGTGCGCATGTCAAAATATTAGTTACGAGACTATGTATATTCTAACAGCAAATGATGCAACGTGAACGGAGAATGGACCGACCATCCCTTAAGTGCAATCGTATCAGTGGCTCTTGGTAATCTTGAACTGCTCAGAGATGTTTCCCTGTGCACATAATTAAGTTTAATCGACGCGTCTGAAGGTGAAAGCCACCAAAGGGATACGTACAGAATCTCCAAAAACTAGAAGGAAAACAGGGATGAGCCCCTCCGCGCGGCCTCGGCTTAGCAGGATCACTCACCGACGCAGATATAATCGTTTCGTTCCTTCAACCTGGCTGGAACCCTGATGGAAACAGAGCCCATATCCATTGGGAACCCAGTGGCCAGTGGACTTTCTAGATCACTAGGTGAGATGGCCAGTTAACATGAAGTAAAACAAATACTTACTAATATCGAGATGCTCGCTACCATTCTCTAAATACCCGAGAAGGACAATACCGGTAGCTTTGCGCTTTTCGTTGGGCAGGTCAGCAGTATCTGTCAACATAATCAATACCCCCCGAACGTGTCGTGGGGGACTATGCGCACCCCAAGTGACGTTTTGCACGGAACCCATCAACCAAATTGCCGCCGAGTCGGGATAGGTGATGTGCGGGCTGAACACAATTTTGGAGTCCCTCTTGATGATGCTGAGGGGCGACGCCACCGAAGGTGAACCAAAGTTTGAGAGACCGACAAGGAGAACAGTAGAAATGAGGGCGGAGAGCTTGAACATTTCAGAAAAATAATGTAAGGGATTTTGATAGATAGAAGAGCAATTAAGGGGCCTAAATATACGAGGGGCGTGTAGCAGAACGAGAGACTGCAGAAGAGGGAATGCAAGGGAATAAGTACGAACGAAAGCAAGGGCAGTAGTGGGTATGAGGATGCATAGCAAATTAGCAGAGATGATTATATACCTTTCAACTCATGCTTCAAGCTTCAAGTCCCGTTCATCACCGTGCTTCTTCATAATGGTTCCACAATTTCCTTCGCTCCTTCTAACTTGGGGAGATCAGAAGCACGAATTAACCAATTGACTGAATGGCACGAGGCCAATCTCGGGCTATATCCCTGTCAGAAGCATAGCCCGCCGCCAAACCCGCATGATGCATGATGCATGAATGTAGACCATGTGCCCGAGGCGGCTCCAATACGAGTATGTCAGCAGTAAGTTGGCAGTTGGACCATGGATGCTGAACTTAGGATGTCGACTTTGTGGCATAGGGCGGGTCGTATATCGGAAGTGACGCTGAGAGTTCCTGGATAGGTCACCAGGAGCTATGGATGTTTGCAGTGGTTTCGGTATTTGAACGACCCACTCCTCGAGGGCGCGAAATGGTATCAGGGAGATGTGAACATCCAGTCGCTTGGAATGCCTTACCCACAATGACGAGGGAGTATTGGTCGCACCGAAGCTAGACTGAAGCTAGATTCAGGTGAAATTGGCGCAAGAGTCAAAGGAAGCCATCACGGAGAAGCCCCTAAAGCGCAGGAGAACGGATCGCGGTTGCCGAAACTGGGTTATGATGAGGCATCGGAGCGGCGTTTGACCTCGGGATTTTTTTGTGACGAAAAGACCCAAGTGTCTATCAAGGTGCTGAAGCACCGATGGTGCTCAGGTGTTGATTTATCGCCATCGAACGACTGCATACGAGATCACATTATGAGGAAGACAGTCCCAGAAGTGGCCTTTATACTTTATTCGAGCGACGTAAGGCGGGATTTGATTGACACTCGCACGATGGGCCGCGCGGTGATGAATACCGCACAAGAAATCAATTCAAAGAGCCCGCTGGTGTTCGTAGATGCTACACGTGTAGCCAGCGAGAATCGATCAAGAATCCCGGGACTTGGAGCTTCCAAGGTGGGATCTATTGAAATTCGATTGCAGAAGCAGAAACAGAGTAGAGCATTCAGCGGGCAAGGACGCCTTGTCTCGCGGAACGTGTTGGAACTTCTGAACGGGATTCGGTCTAGACAAACTATGCTGATCTGGATATTACGTCTAACGAAGCCCTTGAGAGACGGAGTCTATTGCCAAACTATGCCAAAGGTCGAATGATACAGGCTACTGCGGCTTCTCTGGAAGAAGCTCAATGGTGAAAGGAGAACTGTGGTCTCCTGAATCTCCCATGACTAAAGTGAGAAATAATGTAAGTTATACGTCGCAATCCTACAAGTCATAACCTAGGCGACTCACGAACTACAACCCAGTTATTAGAAGGTTTAACCCAGCTTTCCTTCGGAACCCAGACAGTAGTGTTTCCATCACGCAGTGTACAGCTCGAGGCTATGGGATGATCTGGGTGAATGACAAAGAAATAAGCTACAAGGATGGATGTCGTGAAAACAGAGCTCGCCGTAGTAAATCTTCTTATACACTTTCTCTTTTCGGTCCCATTCCCCCAGATAGACTTGGCAATTTGGGTTGCTAACGCGCGCTGGCATATCCGTAGTATTCCTGAAACTAGTGAGAAACCGTGTATGAGGGTTTACAAATGCGAGCACACCAAGTAACCTCCTGCGGCTGGTCAATGAACCATACAGATTGGGAAGAGGGATTAAGGATGTGAGGGGCCCAGACATCTCGGGTACGAAACGCTTGTTGGGCAGCATCGGGTCGACGGAACGCCGCTTGACAAGGGAGACAAACACCAGCAGCAGGGGGTGAGAGCAGGAGAACGATAGCGGAAAGCAGGGTAATAGCGGAAGAAAGCCCGAACTTCATTATAGGTGACCAGCACTGAATCCGTATCAAGCCGAGAGGTATGGTTTATGGTATCCCGAAAGCGTAGGCGGGTTCACACCAGTGCCCTTATTATGGACTGTATAGGAGGACATCCGAGCTGAAACAAAAGCTGAACACTTCCGAGCCGATTCAAGAAGGGACCAAGTTCCAGTCCGCTACGAAAGGCTTTAAATGACCAGTTTGTGTCATACAACGCCGACATCACCGAGCCTGTGGTGGGGGAGACTTTTTCATAGCAGGTCAAATCAAGCACGCAGATAGCTTCGAGCGTACAATGGGCGTTGGGCCTTTCAGGGCGCGTGTTGTAAGGGAGGCTGAAAAATATCAACGGCCTGATGGTCTAGTAGTATGATTCCTTGTTAGGGCTGAGCAAGCAATTTCGAGGAGGTCCCGGGTTCAATTCCCGGTCAGGCCCGCGGCGACAATTGCTTAACTTTTTGCGTCTTTTAAGTTTTATTGTATTCTCATCATGTGATCTGCAGCGACTCACACGCGCGCACATCGCGTCTAACAAAGTGACTTGGAGCGGGCTATTATCACGACACTTGGCGCGGCACCGTCGACTTCAGTCTGTATTTGAGGTGAGCAAGGCGATGCAATCTTCAACTCAGTAATGACTGGTCTGTAGATCTTGGATGGCTCAAATAGCAGCTGATGCCAACAGTGTCATCGTACCACCCCTATCCCCCCATTCTCACTGCAACTTGGGCACCACATTGTATATACGACGCCCAGTGAACAGCTAGCCGTCCCTCGCGTCCCTCTGTCTATGGCAAACGGCCTGCCTGCTCGCCACACCAATCCGGCTTCTCCCCTCGACTGTGATACATATTTCGCTTCTCCCCTTGCACCCATTCTCGATTCCATCGATGACCCTCAAAGCGAATTCATAACCTTACACGACTTGGCCGAGAGTTACGCTACATTAACCCGAAGGATCCGCTCGCAGGCTCCAGGGCTCCTAACGAACGTGAATCGAATTTACCCTGCCCTGGCACCCTTTCAAACCAATAATACCCCGCTCTCCCTCTGTC